TGACCCTTGCAGCATCACTCTTCTTTGCAAGTGGAAAAGACCAGGTGAGCCTTGTATAATCATCCACCATAGTCATGGAATACAGGGCCCCACCATCTCCCTTCACCTTCATGGGCCCCACAGGATCCACGTGCACGAGCTCCACCGGGTCACTTGACTGCCCCACCGTCGAATGGAAGGGAAATCGTGAGAACTTGCTGGTCAAGCAAGTCTCACAAGAGCCCACCTCCTTGGGCTCCCCCTTTATCCTCAGCCCCTTGACTCTTTCCTCCTTAAACAGCTGCTGTAACTGAGGTAGCGCCACGTGGCCAAAGCGACGGTGTGCGGTGAGCCAATCCGTCTCACCCGTATCAGGAGTTAAACTTGGTAGTGCACCCACCCCATGCACAAGCAGCCCACCATCACTGCCATCACCACCTCCTCCACTGGTTACGTGGCTTGCATGCCCTTCTCTTACAGCTTCAGCAGCCAAGCGCGCAGCCGCCTCCTTCCATGGCAGCACCGGTATCTCCCACATGGACCGGTGCATGTCCTTGCCGCCTCGGAGGTCCCACAACACGCGCCCATCCAGAGTTGCCTTGAACACCTTTGTGCCCATCATCTCCATCTTCATCCCTGCCTCACTCAATGCCTTGGTAGAGAGAAGGTTGGCACATAGTCCGGGGACAAGGAGAACACGCTTCAGCCCCACAAGCCTCCCATCCGCACCCATAAACATGGCTCTCCCCTCGCCACGCACGGGTACAACTTGGCCGGTGGCTGAAACAACGGTGGCTGCCTTTGATGGCCTGACTTCATCCAGAAGATCCTCTCGGTTGGTCATGGTCATGAAGGCTCCCGTGTCGATGACCCAATGGGAGGAACGGTGAAGAGAAACCTTGCTGGCCGGTACAACCATATCCTCGGAGCATGCCTCTCCTACATGGTAGAACATGCCGCCATGTCCGCCGGCACCTCCATCGCCCTCCTCACTGCCCATGCCTTCTCCCATAGCTCCATGAACACCCTTGGAGCCTTCAATTGATGGCTGACCAGGCCTCCAACCATCAGGTAGCTTGCGACACTTAAACCATGGGTGACCTTCCACATGGCAATACCAACACTTGCCGCCACACCGCTTGCCTCCCTTGTTGCTACGTTTCCCTCCCGAATACTGCTCCCCTCCAGAGCCTTCCTTGGCCTTGCCTTTCTTGCTGCCACGTCCCTTGAGGCCTTTCATGCCATAGGCAGAGCCTCCACCTTCACCGGCAGCGGCAGTCAGCTCCTTCCTCCGAAACTCCTCTTGAAGGACTTGAGCACGAATCCACTCAAGGGACCATGAGTCCTTCATGCCATTGAGGTTGACCACCAAGGGGCCCCACGACTCCGGCAGCAGGGAGAGAGCCTTGTAGCACTTGATCTTTTCAGGGTAGTCCACACCAGCAGCAGAGAGCTTCACATAGAGGTCCCGGAGTTGATCGAACGCTCCTTGTACGGCATCACCCTCGTTGATCTTCACCGCATGGAGTTGTCGTTCGAGCACCACCACCATCGCTTCGCTGCTGGGGGCATGGACATCCTTCAATATTTTCCATGCCTTGGGACCACACTGGATATCCTTGATGAGATGCTTGATGTGGTGCAGCTGGTTGGATGAGAGGCATTGAGAGAGAAGGAAGAATCCATCCTTGGATCGGCGATCCCATTCCTTGGTCGCTCCTTCGCTCGCAGGCCTCTTCAATTCTCCATCCATCACTTCAAGCAGCCCATAATGGTTAAATAGGAGCTCCATCCTGAAGCTCCATGATGCCCAATCCTCCCCAGAGAACTTCTCTAGGTTGAATGCCTTCACATCATCCTTGGCAGGTGTTGAAACGGATGCTATTGGTGAAGATCCGCCTGCAACGCCTCTTCCTGCTTCCCCAGCGCCTCTCACGCCACCACTGCCACTAGGACCAGCTGGAGCAGAACCTTCAGCCTCCATGTTGACCCAGGAACAGAGAAGAACCGCTCTGATACCACTTGTTATAGTCTAGAGTCCACTTAGGGGTCGTAGATGCCCTTGAAACCACCTCAGCAGAATCTGACGACTTCAAACCGCCTCTGTTCAAAACGTCGTCACGATCAGCTCCGATATCAAAAGAAGCTGAAACTTAGACAGACGTTAGCTTCAAGTGTCTGCTTTCTAACGGTATATAGCTTGCTTTCATCAGAGATGTATGCGCTACGCAGTGAACAAAAACGTAAGCTCGGCTGAAAAACGAGTAGTTTCATTGATGCAAGGAAGAGGTTGAGTACAACATTGCCTAGGGGACTCTTAAGGGGTTGGGACCATCCTGGGAACTCAGAGAAGGTTGAGTCCTAGGGGAGAAAGGCTAGAGAAGGATGGGAAACGTCCTAGCTAGGTCAGCAAAGCCAACCACACTTGGATGTTCAGAGCTGTACTCAAGGCTACCAATAGTGAGTCAAGCCAACCATGAGTCAGCTTGTCTTCCCACTTGCACCCTCTTGCAAGCTGCTTCCAGGAAGACCACACTTCTCAAAAGGAGGGTGGTAGAGTCCCACTTGACCACCTGTACTTCTTGTCTCATTCCCTGTCCCTGCACCATTGGCATGACAACAATGAAAGGGTGGCAAGGGAAATGCTGCCAACAGTGCACCATGACTACGGAACAGTAACTTTCGACAGCTGTCACGTGCTGCTCCGATGCTTGGTTGTCCTGAAACTCGGTGAACACCTGCAAAACAAGGCAAAGGACTGCCACACTAATTTTCAGACCAATCAAAGCTCGGTAGATGAGTCAGCAGCCGAAATGGTGAACTCGGGTGTTACCAAAAAAGAGTAACACACACTTCCGGGATGCCATAAATCTTGAAACTAAAAATGTTGCCATGCCTTGTAAACTGCTTCAATGATTCTGAAACTTTGAGGGTATGAAGAACACATGTTCAAGCACCACCCCACAAAATTCCAGAAGCTGAGCAGGCTTGTAGGCTGAATGGGAGTGCGATGACCGTGCCACTGTAGTACTTTGGCACAACACATTTCCGGGTGTACCTGCAGGGTCGGCCCTTCATGCTGGTGACAGACCATCAACCCCTACTGTGGCTCATGCAGAACCATTCGTTGACAAGTAGGAACGCTCGCTGGACAATGAAACTGCAAGAATACGAGTTCACCATCCGACACCGCCCGGGCAAGACGATGCAGCATGTGGATGGGCTATCCAGGAACCCTCCAGCCATAGCCCCAGAGATGGCACTGATGGCCATGATACCGGACCCAGCGACGCCACTGCGCAAGGAACAGCAGGCTGGAGCACCGGATGTGTGGGAAGACGCGGAGACACTGGCGTGGGTTAAGGGAGAGACAACAGAGGGAGCAGTGGTATCAGCCAGGGCGCGCAGCAGGGGGCAGCATTATCGCTAGTACCAGAATCAAGTGCAGATACGGACCAAGGACGGGTGGAAATGGTGCCTGAACAGAAGGAGCGGGAGGGCATCATACAAGAGGTGCACAACCGTCTGGGGCATTATGGGCCACTGAGAACGCAGCAACTGCTGCAGGCAGGCTGGTGGTGGGCGAGAATGCGGAAGGACATCAAAGACTGGGTGGGAAGGTGCCAGGCATGTATCAAGAACAAGGCGGCGTTCGAGAGGAGCCAAGCGGAGCTGCAGCCGCTGCCGATTGTGGGACTGGGGTACAGATGGTCGCTGGACCTGGCGGGAGAGCTGCCTTTGACCAAGTGGGGGCGCCGATACGTGGTGGTGATGATAGAGCATGTGAGAAAATGGGTGGAGGTGCGAGCACTCAGCAGCAAGACAGCTGGAGCAGCGGTAGAGGCCTTTGAGGAGCAGGTCCTCACTCGTTTTGGTGCCTGCGGGGAGGTGCACACAGGCCAAGGCACCGAATTTCAAGGGGAGTTTGACGAGCTGCTGGCGTCGTGCTATACTACTCACCACACCACCTCACGCTACCATCCGCAGAGCGATGGGCTGACAGAGCGGCTCATCCAGACTCAGAATGACGTGCATCCAACAGGGAGACCGTGGAGGAGACCGGATGAGACAGAGGAGCGCAGAGTAGCGAAGTTGGGGTGGCCTAGCCTGTGATGGAGGAGGATGGTGAGGTGGGAGAGGGAGCGATAGGAACAGTCAGAGTCAGGAGGGCGGGGGGGGAGGGGTGGGTTAGTGGGAGGGAGGGGAGGGGGGGGGGGGGGAAGGAGGGGGGGGGGAGGCAACTTGGAAGGTGAGGGGGCGGGGAACCCGAAGGGTGTACAGACGGGAGCGAGGAAAATAGGGAATACGGGCGAGAAAACGACCTGTGGAGGTTTGGTATAGGTCACAATGGTTAGCACCACCTGGGATGAGAGTGGTGATCATGGCTTGTTGGAGGGACCTTTGGGAGAGGAGGTTAGTACGAAGGGAGGGAATGTGGAGACCGGTGACAGTACCGAGGGAAAGAGAGGACATGGAAGGGTGGAGGTGTTGTGACAAGGGATGGAAAAACTGCTATCAGCGTCGAGGAGGGAGGTTGGTGTGCGGAGAGGGCGTAGTGTACCAGCGTCGCGAAGGACAGTGTCAGTGGCTCCACTGTCCAGAGCGAAGTCAATGGTGGAGGAAGGTGAGGCAGAGTACGGGAACGAAGTTTCATTAGCAGAAGAAGGGTACATGGGAGATGCAACAGATTCAGGTTGACCTAATAAACCAACAAAACCAGAGGAAGGGAAAGCGGTCACACTGCCACCTGCAGACGGCGCCGGGGATGCATCCGAGAGATGGGCTGCAGAGGCAGCACTCCCAGCAGTCCAGGTAGGAAAGGGCTGCTGCTGGGAAACCGGAGGAGGAGGGAGGAGGGGCAGTTGCGGCTGGAGGTCGAGCTGCTGCTGGAGATGCTGGAGCTGCTGCTTGAGCTGAGAGAGGAAAAGCTGCTGCCCATACTGCTGTGACCCCTGATGCTGATTCCCAAGCTGCTGCTGCTGTTGCTGCTGCTGGTGCTGCTGCTGGGGAGGGGCGAGGGCCTAGTGTGCGTGGGTGGAGGAGGGAGGTTCATAGAGGGGAGAGGAACGGACCTCAAGGGGAGTGGGGCGAGGGTTGAGGGCGGACCAGCGAGGAGGGGTGCCGGTGTTGCCCCGGGCAAACCACTCATCATTGAGTGCCTTGAAGCACGTCTCAGTGGCATGGGTGGTTTGGCCGCAGCTCTGTCCCTGAGTGGGACCGTAGCGAGGCAGGTACTGACAGGGAGGAAAGGCAGCTGCCGTACCACGACCCGCACCACTGCTGCCAGCACCACCGCGACCTGCTGATCCCCCTCGTCCACCCCCACGCCCACCACCACGCCCACCCCCACGCCCACCGCCACGGCCACCCCGGCTGCTGCGCGACTGGGCTGCTGCGGCTGTGGAGGAAGAGTGGCGAAGGATCTCAGCTTCGATGGTGATAATCCACTGAGCGACTTCGGTAGGGGTGTGGTGCTTGGAGATAAGTTGCATGTAAGGAAGCTTGTGAGCGTCGAAGGCAGGTGTGAGGCCCTCGAGGAAGTGGCAGCAGATGACGGTGTCCGGGTACACCACATCGAGTGCTGCAAGGCGCCGAGAAAGGTCTAAGACACAGCGAGTGAAAGCAGCTGCGTCAGATGTGGAATCCATGGAGAGAGTTCCAAACTCCTTGATAAGGGCGTAAAGAGTGGCAACCTCATGCCGATCGAAAAGGTCGACCAGCAGTCGTCACAGGTGGGAGGAGGAGGTAGGTGAGAGCTCGCGTTTGAGGGAGGAGGGGATGGTGGCGAGAAGAATGGCAAGCGCGCGTTGATCAGCAACCCGCCAGGCAGTAATTTTCGTGGTGTAGTGTGCAAGTTCTGCAGTGTAGGTGTCCAGGTCCTCGTGGTACTTGTTGTAGCGGGCAGCGGCGTCGTCATAGATGCGCCTGTCGTCCTCGTAATGCAATTGCAGGCGCAGGTGCTCTTGGAGATTGGTGCGGTAGGTGCAAATGGCGGTTTGCGAGCTCTGCGGGTCGTTCACATTCGGCGCAAAGGTGGGAGGATCACCGGGGGGAGAGGGCTCGGCGCCAGGGTGGGCGGGGGCAGGTCCAGTAGGAGCGGTGGGGGCCACGAGCTGAAGTCCACTGCCTTCCTGAAAGACAACCGAGCGAAGGTTGTAGCCGCTGACCACAACAGAGGAGAGGAGCACCTCAACGGAATAAGCATAAGAGTGCCAATTAGCAGCAGAGTTGTCAGGCAGCAACTTGAGTGCGTCAACAGTGGCAAGGTTGACGGAAGAATCGGACGACGATGCCATAGAGATGAGGGTGGGTAGAGGCTAGGGCAGGAGGAGGATGGTGCGAGGGTACCGTTGCCAGTGCTGCTGCTGGCCCTGCTGCCCGTGCCGCTGCTGGTTCTGCAGCTGGTGCCGCTGCGGATGCTGCTACGGGTAGGATGGGAGGAGGAGGAAGGGAGGAGCGGAGGGTGGGGAAGGTGGAGGAGGAGGAGGGTGATGCTATGGGGGATGCAAGGGGGAAGGGTGCTGCTGGTGGTGCCGCTGCTGGTGCTGCAGCTGGTAGGATGGGAGGAGGAAGGGAGGAGCGGAGGGTGGGTTGGGTGGAGGAGGAGGGTGATGCTATGGGGGAGGAAAGGGGGGAGGGTGCTGCTGGTGGTGCCGTTGAGATGCCGCTGATGATGCTGCTGCGGGTACTATGGCAGCAACTCGAGTGCGTCAACAGTGGCAAGGTTGACGGAAGAATCGGACGACGATGCCATAGAGATGAGGGTGGGTAGAGGCTAGGGCAGGAGGAGGATGGTGCGAGGGTACCGTTGCCAGTGCTGCTGTTGGCCCTGCTGCCCGTGCCGCTGCTGGTTCTGCAGCTGGTGCCGCTGCGGATGCTGCTACGGGTAGGATGGGAGGAGGAGGAAGGGAGGAGCGGAGGGTGGGGAAGGTGGAGGAGGAGGAGGGCGATGCTATGGGGGATGCAAGGGGGAAGGGTGCTGCTGGTGGTGCCGCTGCTGGTGCTGCTGCAGGTAGGATGGGAGGAGGAGGATGGTGGAGGAGGAGGGCGATGCTATGGGGGAGGCAAGGGGGAAGGGTGCTGCTGGTGGTGCCGCTGCTGGTGCTGCAGCTGGTAGGATGGGAGGAGGAAGGGAGGAGCGGAGGGTGGGTTGGGTGGAGGAGGAGGAGGGCGATGCTATGGGGGAGGAAAGGGGGGAGGGTGCTGCTGGTGGTGCCGTTGAGATGCCGTTGATGATGCTGCTGCGGGTACTATGGGAGGAGGAAGGGAGAGAGGGGGGGGGGGGGGGGACGACGAGGGCAGCCGTGCGGCAGATCCGCGCGACTGGGAAGCCCGTGGCGAACGCACGTGGGACAGGCCGTGGCAAACGAGCGGGACGTGCAGAGATGGGCGCGAAATGGTCAGTTGGGATTGGTTGGGGTAAGGACCAATCCCCACCAACCACAAAATGTGGTTGGAGGGTACACTAACCAACCCCCAATTTATAAGAGTGCTACACATCTAAGTCTAGCCTATGCATGTTGTATAAAATATGGAATTACAACACCCAACCCCTTAAGAGTTCCCTAGGCCATGTTGTACTATCCTCTTCTTTGCATCAATGAGAATACACGTTTTTCAGCCGAGCTTACGTTTTCGTTCACTGCGTAGCGCATACACCTCTGATGAAAGCAAGCAATACACCGTTGGAAAGCAGACACCTAAGGCTAACTGCTGTCCAAGTTTCAGCCTCGTGTGTTCTTGGAGCTGATCGTGACAGCGTTTTGAACAGAGGCGGTATGAAGTCGTCAGTTTCTACTTAGGCGGTTTCTTGGGCATCCGCGACCCCTAAGTGGACTGTAGACTAAAACAAGAATGAATTGGAATTGAAGATTAGTAAGGTGTCTCTATTACGACCCCATGCACCCATACTATGTACATACCAAATAAGTTGCGACGTGTGCCATTCGAGATGATATGTGTTGTATCGGGCGTTGGTCGCAAGGTGATTGGAGATCTCAACTGTGATACTCCCGATCTGAAATCTTCACCTTGGGATGGCCCGGCAGCGGTGGGAGAATCTGCTTGTGGTGACTCATCCTCTGCCATCTCTCTTGAGGGTGGAGTGGCGTCCATATTGGTGGACACTCCATTACTTTCCACCCCATCTGTAAACGGCCGCCTCCACTCCCTCAAAATATTGTCAGCCCAACTCCAATCAATCGGTCCAAGCACCTGATCTCTCCGTCCACGATGCGTTCTTGTCGTATGTCGCACCCGAGTGACATACGCCCGAACAACACGATCCATAGTGTTGTTCCAGTGGAGAGTTGTCATGGCGATTCGCGGCGGATAACTATCCTTGAATAGAATGCGCTTTGGTGCACATTTGATAATAAGGGAGTGAAACGACTTATTCATAGAATTTGTTGCCCCCTCCACGATGCATGCAACCTTGGCAGAACTGAAATGCTTTTCACACCACTCTCGCACGGCCAAATGAGTCACAAAATTTGGTTCATACACCGCACTCTCCTCACCCCAGTTTCTGCTGCACCCAGAATGAAGGCCTGCAAAATGATCTGCTGCAACGCATAGTTCGGCTGAAACATCCTCGCAGGTGCGAGTGTTTCCCTCCCGGGCTTTCACCCCGCTGCGCATCATACAGTAGTAAAAATGCACTGCAAGACGGTCAACAACGGTCACATCGTTCTCCCTCGCCTCTATCTCAACCTCACCGTTGACGCATTCACTGTCCCCACCACGTGTCCTTCTGCGTTGCCCTCGCTGTCCCCACCTCCTAGGAGTTTCCTCTTCCGAGGCAACCCCTACGCCCTCGTTCTCTGCAGCCCTATTTGATGCAGCTTGGGTGTCTCCTAGGTCTTCGGGTGCCATCTCTTCCTGAGCCCCATCTTGGTTGCCTGCACGTGATGTTTCCAAAGTATGGTATGGTAGGGAGTGACGGTGCGCATGAAAATAAAGAAAGGTGGACGATAGGATGGAGAAGAACTGAGGGAGGTACGAGCGAACTGATTACAGAGAAAGAGAGGACAGCAAAAACATCCCTATACAAGGAAGGAGGGTTGGGAAATGAGACTGAATGTTGAACGGAAAATCATAGGTTGTGAAAAATGAGATGGAGAAAGAGAGAATGGATGGGATGAAAGTGGTTTAGATTGGAAAGAAGTCGAAAGCGGTAAAGAGGGTTGGTGGGCAAAATGGAGGCACATACAGTGGGGAAAACAAGAGGACGGGAGGGGAGGGAAAACAGGGGATGGGAAGGGTGGAGAAACCGAGGGAAAGAGGATGGTAAAAAACAGAGGCTACCCCACGCCGAGGCTCTCACCATCCCTGTCTGATGTGGCTTGGGTCCCTCCACCGTTTTCGGTGATCATCTCTTCCCGACCTCCAACTTGGCTGCCTGCGCATCATATTATCAATGTATGGTTTGGGTGAATATGAAGCGTACGAGTATGATGGGGATGGAATAATGGGACGTGCGAATGGAAGAGGTAGGTGAATGCATGGGGAGGATGGGGGGAAGGAGTAGGGTGGAGGTGGGGGCAAAGGGGCAAACTCAATGGAAGGGAGGGATGGGTGCAAGGGAAAATCAGATGAAAGGTGGAATTGAGGACGGTAACAGCGAGGTAAATGCAGATGGGCAAAGCGGAAGAAGGGAAGAGGAATGGAAAGTGGGAGATAGGAAGGGTAAACAAAGGAAGGGAACAAAGGAGAAACAGAGGGAGCGATGATGGGAGGAGAGGATAAAAAAAGTAAGTTACCATGATTGTTACTTTAGCCGGTTGCCTCTTTACCCATGAATGAAGAACCCGCTTCAAACCCGTTCCATGCCTGTATGAGCACCAAGGAGGCATGCGAGGACGGCCATATCCCATACTCTGGATGCGCGTCATAGCTCCATAGTTCGGCCACATCCGGCCACTGTACCTCCACTGCGGCGCCGCTTAAACCGTTCGCATTCTCCACCCCCCCAACTCCAACCTCAGCTCCTAATTGATGTTGAGCGTGTCGATAAGGTAATGACACCCCATGGACCTCTGTGTCGACTGGCTCTGCACTCCCACTTCCCCGGCTCTGCAGCACTTGCTACAACTTAGGGTGTAGCCATTTGGCATCAGCGGGGTCCATATCCTTGAACCCGAACCCACGCAGATTGCACACTGCCTGTACGAGCCCTTTCTTTGTCATGGGCCTTGGTTGCCCCGAGTCCCAACTCGGTGCAGCTCGTAGCCAATCCAGTAACTTGACATTAGTAATCAAGTACAGATCCTCAAGTACAGATCCTCAGAAGTGCTCGCCCCCGCTACCGAACCCGAGACCTTCCTTTTAACATCTTGTACCTCTGATCGAAAACTTCTAATCTCACTACCACACTTGTGCCAACAGTCCACCTGATGCCTCAACCCTCTCTCCCGAGTAGCACCCTTGAAAGTGCTACCGTCATCCTTTTTAATTCCATCTACGCTAAACCCATCCCTGCTCAGCTCGTCCATGCCCTTGTCAAAAGCAATCTGCTCGAGCCTAACTGTGAGGATCTAGGATCGAGCTCAGAAAAGAGAATGTGAATTGAATTGAATTGAATGATACCTGGGTACAACACGAGGCTATATATAGGCTTGACACAAGGCCCCGTAACCAGGTGTTACGCGAAGGTTCCGCGGGTCGCGAAGCGTCCCGAACAGATCCTTACCGAATTCGGTAGAAGGCAATTCGGTGGCAACCGAAAGCCGGAATTCGGTGCACGCAACCTAGCTCGGTGCTATAACTATAATAAAATATAGGAAAGCACCTAGCCTAGGAAATCAAGCAATTCATGCATGCATATAATTATCCTATGCTAGAAATAGCATGATAAAGTAAAGGCAAGCAAGCATAATGTCAAATTATAATGTTGTGTAGGCTATATTGGGGTAGCCTATATGGGGTACACATTTCTAGGGTTGCATATTTGTATCACTTTCGTTCCTTAGTCAATCATTCTCGTTTCAGTTTTCTCATGGTATCGAGCAGGTTCCCTCGTGGGAACTGTGCCTAGGGCCCACCACATCGATTTTTTTTTCCTGCCCGGAGCGCGCTCAGCCCGAGTCGCGCTCCTCTCTCTCACTGCGTCGCGCCGCCCTAGCGGCCCCGTCGCCCTAGCGGCCCCGTCGCCCTGGCGGCCCCATCGTCCTAGCGGCCCCGTCGCCTAGCCCTACGGCCCCGTCGCCTCGCCCTACGGCCCCGGCGCCGCCCTGTCCCGGCCCCGCCGCCCTTCGCTGCGGCCCCGCCGCCCTTCGCTGCGGCCCTGCCGCCCTTCACTGCGGCCCCGCCGCCCTTCGCTGCGGCCCCGTCGCCCTTCGCTGCGGCCCCACCGCCCTTCTTTGCGGCCCCGCCGCCCTTCGCTACGGGCCCGCCGCCCTTCGCTACGGCCCCGCCACCCCTCTCGCTACGGCCCTGCCGCCTACCTTACGGCTCCGCCGCCCTTCGCTGCGGCCCCGCCGCCCCTCTCGCTGCGGCCCCGCCGCCTACCTTGCGGCTCTGCCGCCCTTCGCTGCGGCCCCGCTGCCCCTCTCGCTACGGCCCCGCCGCCCCTCTTGCTGCGGCCCCGCCGCCTACCTTGCGGCCCCGCCGCCATTCGCTGCGGCCCCGCCGCCCTTCGCTGCGGCCCCGCCGCCCTTCGCTGCGGCCCCGACGCCCTTCGCTGCGGCCCCGCCGCCCTACCGAGCCGCCCGAGCCGCCCGAGCCGCCCAAGCCGCCCGAGCCGTCCGTTCCGCCCGAGCCGCCCGAGCCGCCCGAACCGCCCGAGCCGCCCGAGCTGCCCGAGCTGCCTGAGCCGCAGAGGAGCCGAGCCGCTGGTGCCGCCGAGCCGCAGTTGCTGCTGAGCCGCCCGAGTCGCCCGAGCCGCCGTGTTGACGTGCTGCTGTGCTGCCGAGCTGCCCGAACCGCCCTGTCTGGTGAGAGCAGCGCTTCTGTCACTGCAATGCCTCTGTCCTACAGTTAGCACTGCTAATCTACTACTATCATGGCCACCCCCAGTGTTCTCGCTTTTGACGCTGAGGGTCGGGCCATTGACTTTGAGGTCTGGGTAGATGACCTGCAGCTTTTCCTACAGTGCGATGACGACGCCACTGTTCGCTCCCAGTGGGCCACTCGCGATGCTGCTGCACGTCTTGCTGTGCGTCGCCACCTGCCTACCACTGAGCGCGCACACTTTATTCAGTACAAGAGTGCTCAGACCTTGTACGACGCCGTAG